CTGAATCAATAAGAGAACGAGCTTTTCTGCCAAAAATAAATAACGTACCCATAACCACGCCTGGTGACTCATCGGCATCATGCTGAGTCACAGCAAAAACTCTTCCCTGAGTCCTGGGACGTCTTGCCTGACCATTCTGTCTATTACCACTCCTGCCTGCAACATCGGATTGAATAAAACTAGTAGTACCCGCTTTACCTGCCAACATGTCCTGATTCTAATTCTGTCTAGAAATACCAACCCCAAGTTGTGCTTCCTGTGATGTACCACCCTGCTAAAAGCGAACTGGACACTCTCTCCTTAAATGTCCTTCATGTTTGCACACAAAGCATCCACTAGTACCCTTAAGACACTCACCAAGATGAGATCTCCCGCAATTCTGACAAGGCGGATACCGAGTACTGCTAAGGCTGTCGACAGGTCTCGAGGCCATGGACCTCTGAACAAAAGACTGACGGTGCACTGGCTGGCGGATGGAGCTCTGACTACGACCAGATCTTTGACTTGATCCAGAACTCTGAGTTTCGACTTGAAACTCCTAGTATGAGCAACACTAGGCCAAAATCTTCCTCTGTTCTTTTAATGCTACCCACTAGAGGTTCATGTCTGACTTTGATTTCCCCGAATAGCCAACTGAATCCCCTGACTCTATCATGCTTGTAATGCTGCCTCAACTCTAAAGGCCGCCTCTACTAGTGGTCCAAATCTGGTATATCAGGCCCCAAGTTCTCTTCAAATCATCTACATTTGTCACTCTCTTCATTTACTATAACCAGTGCATACCTTGAGAGCTCCACAAACTTGGTATGATATTCAGAGACAGTCATTGAACCTTGAGTCAACTTCAAGAACTCATTTTACCTGGCATTCTTGTATGAAAGAGGATCGTAGGTCTCAAAGAAAGTATCTCTAAAAATAGCCCACGTGATATCATTGGCAGTACGATACCTGCTTCTAAAATCAAACTACTGATCAGCTGCTACCCCTTTCAGCAAGAAAGTAGCAAGACGTAGTTTCTTTTCCTCAGAACAGCCCATAACATCAAAAATACTTTCTAAAGTCCTCATCCATTCCTTAGCATCAGTAGGGTTAGCAGTACCCACAAAATCTTTAGCACCGAGCTTAATTGCCCTCTCGATGCTAGTATCCCTATCTGGGTTGGGAATAATAGAAGCAATGGCTGTAGCGAGTCTGTCGAATATGGGATCATTTCCAACCACATTACCCTGTGACGGTAGTCCCTGTGTCTGATGAACAGATGCCTCACCAATATCTTCTTCTATAGGGGCATTTGGACTTTCAGGTGGTGGGTTTCGACTTTCAGCTATTCACACTGCTTGTAACTCTTTCATTAATACCAATTTCATCTCATAAATTGACATTTGGCATAGTCGATTGGGGCATGTTCCCACTCCAAAATTATCTTTATTACAAAAAATTGTTCCTTCTATTCATGTCAACAAAAATATACATAGTAGTATATGCCCTATTGCTAAACAACACAAGTTACATTTCCCACTTAGTGAAACTAAGGTCTCACATATGTTTGATCTTATCCATCGTGACATTTGGGGACCGTACTCCGTTCCTTCTTTGGATGG